GCTCAGGAAAAGGCAAAGCCTCTCATTCATTTTCTACATCTCCCTCATTCTTTTCTTCATTCCCTGGTGGCTTTCCATGGACCATTTCCTGAAGGCAAATACTCGATTTTCCTGTTTTTTCTCATGGGTGTTGAAATATAGTGAATGTGTGGTTGTTAGGTAAAATGCACAGGGGATGGCTTATGGCTAATATCTCACTTGAGGTCATTGGCCTACTTACTTAGTAGAGAAGAGTTGCACGCTCTGCTCAGGGTAGCACACAGTCTCTGATCATCAGGGCATAGCAAGCACCATTTGCTTCCAATTTTGCCTTGGTGATTGTTTTCTCCAAATAAATATTTTCTGAAAGCTTTCACTGCGTGAACGTTCCCAGTCAAAACATAATATTATAAGTATTTAAACTTTTTCCAGATTAATCTATGTAAGATGATAAAATACAAAATCCCTTCAACCTTTTCTTCTTTTGCTACGGTGACATTTTGAAGTCTATGAGCCAGTGATTGCATGTAAGTTTTCTACATAGATTTGCCTGTTATCTGCTCAGAAGGGAAAAGTGTTGTCAGAAAAATCAAAGAAACTAAGCTAGGTCTTATGTAGATGCTGGGAAAGTCTGTGAGATGCTTCAGGGCTTTTTCTTGGTGATATTTATAGTAATTGTTTATTCACTGTATGTTATTCAGGTTCCTCCTGTAAAATCGCAAGTTTTAAAATGGTGGCTAATAAAATAAAAGGAGAGTTATTTAGAACACAGTTGCTCTGCTTCTACTTGAAATTCCACCCACTACTATGTGTGGTACCATTAGCAAATAGTAATAGAAGGACAATATTTACATGATGTTTTCCTAAGGTTAGATTTATATTTTATTTTTCTTTAACTAATATTGGAATTCTTTAGAAAGGAAGTTATAATTTTCTTTCACCTTTTAAAGTTTTTAATATATCAGTGTGGACTCCTGATTTTTGTTTTATTTAACAGATTAAAACACATTTTGTTATGTATTTTGCAGCGCCACTAGAAAACTTTTTAGTTTGAACCTAATTTCATTTTCCTGACCCACACAACATGCAAGTCCTTGTTCTCTGTCATCAGATTTTCTAGGATCCTGTTCTGTTTTTCTGACACTAGTCCTTAACCAACAATGTACCATTCCTTTTACATCAGAACAATGTTTAAGAAGCAAGCTTTCATCATTGTTCACAGGATGCCCTTGATTCTATGCTCTCTTGAAACGATGGAAAATTCTATGTGGTATATTCTAACAGACCTATAGACCTGCACATCTATATATCTGTATCTATCGTTCTTATTTGTCCTTAAAAATCATGTGCTTATACTGGCTTCAATCTCCATAAGATATGTACACGTATTGGAAGAAGCTGAGAAGAAGAAAGACATAAATATATGATGTATAACAGGATATTTTGATAGGGTGCAAGATCAGAAAAATAATGTTAGTAAACAATTCAAAGAGGTCAAATAACCCAAATGATAGTACTTATACTAATGGTAAGACCTCATCTGAGAAGGGAACTAAAACTCAAAAAAATTACTTAAAGTACTAATAAGAGTATGTGGAAATATTTAAGCTATAAACTGCTTCAAATAAAAAGGAAAGAAAAGTAATTAAAAAACCTTTTAATCTAACATTTCTTAATCTTCCTAGATTGTGAATTTTAATTCTCTAGGAAAAGAATTTGCTTTTATGAAGTAGTTTTAGTTTGAGTCCTTACATACTTTTATATTTATTTAATAAATGTATAATCTTACAAAGGCAAATGGAGTAATATGGACTATTATGATATCAGTGCTGACATTTCTTCTGAACATAATAACAAATAATATACAGTAAAATGAAAGTCATTTGAGGCAATAAGAGAGCTTAATGGGGACAGGTTATAGCTGCCTAACGTGACAACCAGAGTTTGGTACCCAAACCAACCTGATGCAAGAAGAGGAGAGAACAGACTGCAATAAGTTTTCCTCTTATTTCATTATGTGCACTTCTCTACTTGGACACAAACAAACATATACACACATACATGCGCACAAGTTAATAAAAGTATTAAATGATTGTAGATAAATTTTAAGGTTTTTTTCATATTTTATATATTGTGAATATTTCTCTTCTGTAAAAATTTTCTATTGTCTATTATGCAAAAGAACTATTTTCAAGGATATATGTAAGTGTACTTTTTACATACCAAAAAGCACATAAGCTTATGCTCAATATAATTATACCTGAGTCAATGCAAGTGAGAGACACAGGGAGGCATCTTCAAACCCACCTATGAAAGTTTGAGAACAAAATGAAGATGGTAAGTACTGAAGAAACTGCCATAAAGTTGGAAGCCTGGTACTTTGCTAGTAAGACTGAAAATATTGTAATCTATTTATAATAACCTTACAGCATAGAACAAATGATTAACAGAGTGGCTACGTGATCTAGAAATTCAACTCAGCCTTAATAAACCCAAACTGGATGAAATGAAAGCATATATAATGGAAAAACCAGTGTCTTTCAGGGGTTATAAAGAATCCACACTGATCATGTGTTAAAGAGAAAAGTGAAATGTGGTTTCTCCTGTAGTAACATACCATCAAAATTAAAATATAAGTTATTGGGTGTCTGTATAGAGGGACTTTGAAAATGTCACTCTAATTGATGGAAGCCAAGTCAGCAACACATGGCACATAGAATGGTCTAGAACTGGCAAAAAACAGAAACAGGTGTAGATGAGTGGCTGGCCAAGACTGAAAAGAAGCAAGTAGATTGTTGATAGGTTTCTGTGAAATTTCTCTAATTTAATTAGAGAAATTCTAATTAAATTTTTAATTCTAATAATTAAAAATTGCTAGTGACAATCTGCAGAAGAATGAAAATAGATCCATATCTATCACCATGCACAAAACTCAAGTCCAAATGGATTAAGGACATCAACATTAATCTGAACACATTGACCCTGACAGAAGAGAAAGTGGGAAGTAGTCTACAAGACATGGGCACAGAAGACTACTTCTTAGGTAGAACCCCAGTAGCACAGACAATAAGAGCAACAATGAATAAGTGGTACCTCCTGAAACTGAGAAGCTTCTGTAAAACAAAGGACACTGTCATTAAGACCAAAAGGCAACCTACTGATTGGGAGAAGATTTTCACCAACCCCTCATCAGACAAAGGTCTGATCTCCAAAATATACAAAGAACTCAAGAAACTAGATACTAAACTCTAATTAACCCAATTAAAAAATGGGGTACTGAACTGAACAGAGAATTCTCAAAAGAACTTCGAATGGCCAAAAGACACTTAAGGTCATGCTCAACCTCCTTAGCAATCAGGGAAATGCAAATCAAAACAACTTTGAGATACCATCTTACACTTGTCAGAATAGCTAAACTCAAAAACACCAATGATAGCCTATGCTGGAGAGGATGTGGAGTGAGGGGAACTCTCATCCATTGTTGGTGGGAATGCAAACTTGTACAGCCACTGTGGAAATCAGTGTGGCGGTTTCTCAGGAGACTAATTTTAAAGGGCAACTTACTAAATTGAAATAATTTTGTGAAAAATGTTATATTTTTAATAAAGAAAAATTCAATGGAATATATAGATTTAATGACTTATGCCTATTTTTTTACCCAGGTAGAACAGTGCCTCAAAATAAGTAAATAAGTAAAATAAAATGAATCAAAACAACAACAAAAAAAACAATGTGAATGAATTTTTCTTTGTATGAACAGCAGTGAGTTGGACTAAACATTCAGCATTATAATTCGAATATTCAATGGCAAAACTAATATGAAAAAATATTGATACACTTGATGATGTCTCTGTTTAATTATGTCTGATTATTTTCTGTACTTAAACTGGATCAAATGACTGAGTATTTCTTGAAAATAAACCACCCCACCCATAATCTCCCTACCTAATTTCATTGTTGAAATTAAACCCTTGTGAACAAGCAGAATAAAAATATTTCTATTAAGAATTTTTATAAATTGCTCCTAGGGTAATCTTTTTCATCTCAGCAGAAAAGAAATGCAATTAGAGACAAGATGGTGAAGTCTATTTTACAATACCACTGACCATTTACTGGTTTTCTATTAGTGACTCCTTCTAACTACCATACTTTCTAGAAAAGAAATTATTCATTGTAATCTCTTTGCTTTAGTAGTTCAGTTAAATAACAGCCATTTAAGTTATGGAGAAACAAATAAGCAAGGAAGCAAGAAAGCAAACACAAAACCCACCTGGACTAAAAGCACAAAGTAGAATATAGTTAGATAATCAACATGTTGCCTTCAACACCAAGTCAGTAATAGGAAACAAAATGCATCTCAGTACAGCATTTGTGTTCTAAAGTTAAAGCAATATATTCACTCCTCAAACTTTCTTTTATCATCCAAATAAAAACAAATTCTGTTTATTTGAAGCTATAGTAATATATAAAAGAATTCTAAAATGTTTTATTGCTGTTTCCCAACTACCTGAAATGCACATAATATGGTATACTATATTATATATTAGTACTTATAATAATACTATTACTTATTACTTATTATTATATTATTAAATATAATAATATTAATAATACTTATTAATAACTATTAATAAGTAGAAAAGCACAATTTTGAGATCAATTATGTACAAAAAGTTTTATCATAACATTTATTTAAGATCTCATTACTCATAAATTCTCTTCAGGAAAATTTTATTTACTATAAAAATTTTATTCATGGAAACTAACTATAAACCCATGAAACAATGTTGAAATTCAGAATGTTGTTTATAAAAATTATATCAAGATTAGTGAATAAGATTAATAACCAATAAGATCAACTTTATTCATGTGTTAGGCCTCTCAAATTATTCATGTATTTCAAATGAAGATAATGTAAACAAAAACAAATATAGACAAATATCTATTTGTATATTTTGGCTTACTATAGGTCTATATCACACAACTACTAATTAAATTATCTGAAGAAAAAATATACTTACTGCCCTCTAGAGGTATGAACCAGTAGTGTAATAAGTGTAGATGTAGCTGGGCATATACAGTTTAAAGCTAACATGGCGTATTTAAACTCCTCTTCACAAACAACATGATCTGTGTGAAATAAAATAGGTAAATTAGAATAATTTACCTTTTGAAACTATTTTGTTTAAATATGAAAAATAGGACAATGAATAAAATTGCAAAAGTCTCAACATAAACATACTTATTTTAAGGTTGTTTTTTCAGGTGGAATGCTATCCCCAGAAATACATTTTGTAAGATATAGTGCTGGAGAATGAGTTCATGACTGTGTTTCGGGGCCATGAAAGAAGAGTTCTAATCCTGACAAAACAGGGAACCTTGGTAAAATGTGAAACTGCTTGTGCAAGGAGGAAAGCAACATCTAGTTTGAGTAGCAGTCTGGAAGACGTTTCAGGTGATTGGTGAAGATCCTATGAACTTCCAACTTTCAGTACCACAAATCCAAAAATACTGGTTTTCTAAAATCATAACCACACAGCATTACACCTCAAAATTTTTAAAATATGTGGTAGGCTATCTGATAAACACAAGTTACATGCTTTATACTATCAGAGCCAATGTAATAATGTTTAAAAGTATTATTAAAATAAAAACTGCACTGTAATTAAAATAAATTCCTAAACTCAAAGCTGGGTAGGGTCCAGTTATGAAAGTTAGCAAGTGGTGCCTAGAACTCAGTGACAAGAAAGAAAAAGAGTGCTAGAAAGGATGACAGAGAGGAGTGCCACCACATCTGTAGGAGACAAATCTGCCCAGCTCAAATTATATTGTCACCATATGAGAATGATGCCCTAATATGACAGTTGCTTGATTCTCTACATAAAGCATACTTTCAGAAAAGGAAATAAACTATTGTTAATCTAATAGCAGCCAACTCCAAGCAAAGTATTTAAACATTAGTATTAGAAATTGAGAACCTACTAAATTTCTAAAGCGATACAAACATTCTTTGGCAGGAAATAGAAGTTTTAGCTAACAGAAAGAAATGACGATTAAAGTAGTTCATTAAACAAGCATAAGTACCATGCAATCAAGAGTGAGTGACTTCAGAAACAAGGTAGCAATGGTTCTGCTACAAATTATAGCAATATGATTGCTAATTAATGTGGTTGAGCATATAAAAGAAAAGCTCAATGCTTTTTAGTTTTAATTTTGTTTAAATGTTGCTTTCATTTTTCTTTGTTAAAATTTATATGAGAAATATTACACTAGTTATACCTCAGGATTTAGTCTAATAGACATGAAGGATCTGCTAATAACTACTGCATCTTTCACTCCATTAGCCCCTCTCTTTCTCTTTCAAATTATTAGTCTGTGTAAATGGAATTTGAGGAGGACTTTAAAAATATATAGCAATGATATTTAATGTTTTGCAAAAGGGGATAAGACTCTAACTCCAATTTGAATATTGATGTCTGTAATGAAATATTTGCAAAAGAACAGTGTATTTAAACAACCCTCTCAATATTTCTCAAAATAATATTTGAATGTATGTGTGTAATCTGTGAGAGAAAGGCAATAAAGTTGTTAAAAGGCCAAATGCAATTGCTTTAGACTCATATCTTAAAAATGCATAGGGGACCATGATTTTAACTAACACTTGCAACATATGATCTGTGAAAAATATACACACTTCATAGCATAACATAAGACAGGACGTTTAAAAATCCAAACTGTAACAGAAATCTTGGAAACTTGATTGCCATATGCACCACCACAAGCCGTTATTGGTTTTCACTAAAAGGCATAACTGTATTTCTTCAAATAGAACAACTTGAAAACTGTAGTGTAGGGCAATGCTTTGGAAATGTTTCATCATGCTTTCCTTCAATAGTTAAGAGTTGGGTATTGTGGCCTCTCTTTGTTCAATTGTTATCAGAATTTTAACGAATGACTATGGAGTAATTGTATGAGGAGCTCTTTTTCTTCCCTCAAAAGCCATATTATTTTTTAATCTACTAATATATTAAATCCACACAAGACACCTTTCCTCAGATAAAGACTTGTAGTACCCACCAGTCCTTCAAGCTTAAAGCACATCTGTTACAGTCCACTACACAAACATAAAGTATGATCTATTTCAGCATCACATGATAAATTATCTACTGGGAAAAATGCATGCAAACTAAAATGTACTTTACTGTCTTCAGCATAGCATGTGACTCACTAATATTCCTTCAAGATATTCAATCACTATTTCCTATAGTGACAGCATCTTTTACTGGTGTGGCAATTGGTGCAAGCCTCCTTCTTTATATTGCATTTTCTTGTCTATTTTACTTCTACACTTACATAGGAACAATTCGTGCTTCATTATTATACATACCTACTTAACATTTTTAGTAAAAGAAGTGTTAAAAGTACTTACTGTACAAAGAAGGTACACAAGGCTGGCAAGAATGAACAATGAATAAAGAACTCCTTGTTCAACAAGGAAAGCCTAAAATAGAAGACTAGTTTCCAGCTATATAATGAACACCAAAAATCCTAGATATCAAGAAAACAAACCAATTTAAAAATAGAATGCAGATCTAAACAGCAAATTCTTAAAGAGCTAGGAAACACTTAAATACATCTTAAACATGCTTAGATATTAGGAAAATGTTAATCAATATTACTTTGAGATTTCATTTTACACTAGTCAGGATGGCTAAGATCAATAAAACAAGTGATGGTCATACTAGCGAGAATGTGGAGTCAAGGCAATGCCCATAAATTGCTGGTGGGACTGCAATTTTTACCATCACTATGGAAATAAGTGAGGTGGTTTCTCAGGAACATGGAAATCGATCTACTTCAATATCTAGTTATAACAATCTTGGGTATGTATCCAAAGGACATTTTACTGTATCACATAGACACTTGTTCAACAATGTTTATTGCTGCTCTGTTAACAATAGTCAGAAATTTGGAACAACTTAGATGCCCTTTTTCAGACAAATGAATAAAACACACACACACACACACACACACACACACACACACACACACACACACACAC